GGGAGTGAAACGGTATTCACCAGTTCGCAGTAGCTGATGCAGATCCCAGGGCTCGATCCCTAGTTCCCCACCTTACCTGTGTACAGTACCTGTGTCAAACCGTAGAGTTGAACCTGCGACCTGTAGGACCGCCAGTGGTAGGTAGGACATCGTAGGTTACAGGGTACAAGGGATTCGAACTGTAGACCTGTCGGGTAGGAGTCTAGCTAGTCAAGGGGTCTTCGCTGTAGATGTTCGGAAAGGTCAAAGTCGTAGCTGCTGCTTACCTAAAAGGGCAGAGTCGTAGCTGCTACAGTACCGAAAGGCCAAGTAGATGTTTCCAGAAGTGGCCTTTCGAAAGTCGGCCCACTGTAGGTCCAAGCAAGTGGGCAAGTGGTGGAAGTCCACCGTGCAAAGTCAGCAGTCCCAGTCCAGTCAGTCCGGTTCAGTCAAGCAAGTACCGTCTGGGACTGTGTACACCGTGGGCCCGGGGTAACAGGGCAGACCAACGAGTCACAGAAGTATAAATCAAGAGGCCGCGCACAGCCATTCATTCATTCCTGCGGAAGCCATGCGGAAGCGCTGCCTCAGCGTCTTGTGCGAGGAGGTCTGCAGTATGCCCGAAGTCGAAGTGGGCCAGAAGACCGTAGCATAGCGATAGCGTAGAGGCAGCTATCGCTGCCATAGCTGTAGTCAGTGTGTGTGTGTTGTGTGAGTGTGTAGAGTGATGCGTGTGGGATATCCAGGGTGATCCGGTGTGTGAACAGTGAGTTGTTGGGCGTTGAGTCGTCATAGCCAGTGGAAGTGAACTCTTACCTAGAAGCCATATCTCTAAGTACTGTGTGGGCGCATGTCACCAGTTTGCTGTGCTGCTGTTCACGTGCATGAAAAGTGTGAACGAGACGAGTCTGATTGCACATCCCCCCATAAGACCTGCTTGTTGAGTTGTCTTGGTGTTTGGTACCTCCCTCACCCTGGTGTCGCTGCTGCTGGGCTGGTCCAAGTTGTCTTCCTTGAGTCTAGCAACCATTCCGCTCATTATTAAAAAAAAAAGTACATACATATATAGCTTTGGGAAGGTATTCGGCAATCAGCAACAGTCAGACCCACTCTGGAGTTAGTAATTAGTGGTATGGGTAGGTCTACGTGGTGAGGAGGTGAAGGCCTTCTCGTGCCTTTGATCACCATGGGTGACTATCCCATGTTCGCACTTCTCTCTCTGTCTGTGTGGGGACCTCTTCTTCGTTTTATCTTTCCTCTCGGGTTCCAGCGAACCCTCTTCTCACATGCAATGCTAAGGTCTGGGAAGTCAATGCAGGCACAAACAGTTGAAGAACAAGCAGAGATAGACCGCTGCCTGGCAGAAAAGAAGAAAGAGAAGGAGGAAAAGAAAAGGAAGGAGGAGGAAGCGAAGGAGTTACTAGAAGAAAAAGAAAAGATGGAGAAGGAGAGGAAGTTAATGGAAGAATTGAAAGAAGAAGAAGAAGAAGAAGAAGAAGAAGAAGAAGAAGAAGAAGAAGAGGGGGGAAAGTTGGAAAGAAGGAGAATCCAGTCGAAAGAAGAAGGGGCTGAGAGCAGTCAGGCAGGGGCGATTCGTATGCGACAACTGGAGGCATTGAACTGGATGGAGCAGTTCAGTTATCGGACTGAGTTCCCGGAAGAGACAGAGGAGGAGAAAAATGCCTTTATCATAAGGCTGGCCTCAACGGACGAGGCAGAGAAGAATTTACTGTTGGAGGAGAAGAAAGCAGAATTAAATAATAAGATGGTGGCGGCAAAAAAACAGTAGAAAAGAAAAAGTTGAAAGACGAGGCGGAAAGGTTGGAGAAGCTGCTGCAGCAACAAAAAGGAAAGCAAGCTGCCACATATGAACGACTATCCCTCCTAACAGATACTATCCTCCATACTAACAATGAACTTGCTGCACTCCACCGAACTGTTAATCGAATAGAGTTGCACCAAGGGGAATTCGAAGGAGTCTGAAATAACTTCCTGAGCAGTGCCTCATAACAAATTGATCATTGCATATTTGAGTATGTTGACCAATTAGATAAAGCCCTCTGGAAAAGGTTAACCGACCCTGTCGTAGTAAGGAAACTAAAGATTGGAGGCAGGGAAGGAGATGGAGGTGATGATGGTGATGATGGGGACAAAAAAGGAAAGAGTCCAAGAAGAAGGACAACGAAACGGAGGAGTCCAGGCAAAAGATGAAGGTGAATCTGCCTTGGACTTATACGGGGAAGAAAGAAGAGAGTATATTTCATTGTGAAGTTGCAATGGATACCTACTTGTACGCGCAGAAGATCCTGTATTGGGACCGCGTGCATGGCTAGTTTGTGTTTAGCGGGTGATGCGATGAGTTTCGCCATCTCCTTGATGAAGGAGAGTGGCTGCACAACCATGGTCCTATATTCACAACAGACACGGATCGAGGACTTCTTTAGAGCCCTTGAGAAAGAATCGAAGATAAGAATCTGGCCCGCAGGACCGAGTCTTTGATCGTAAACATTGGCGATCGTGAGTGGAAGACTGCGTCAGCGCTCAAAGCCACTATGGATGAACTCTTGCAGTGTCCGGGTCATGGACTGACACCCACACAGATTTTGAACAATTTTGCCAGAGCACTCCCGGATCCATTGAGAACCCAACTTTATCCCCACACTAAAGAAGAAGGAATGACTTACGAAAAGTTCAGCAAGATCGCAGTTGATCATGTTGGCTTTCTGCAAGAAGCACAATACTGTCATTATTGGAAAGATCTCCAGGCAAGGAAGAAATGGAGAGATCGCGCGATCTCAGGGAACATAGCTGGGAAAGATAATCTCCTTTTCACTTTCGAAGAAGGAGGGGTAAAATCCCTTACCTACGATCAGATATATTACGGTTTAGAAGAAGACAACAATACTCACTTAGCCCAGGGAGGGGATTATGTGGCTGTTGCAGCCCGCGGAGGAGGGCGACAAGGAGGAAGAGGTCGTGGAAGAGGAAGAGGAGGTCGTGGCCGAGGTGGAGGAAGAGGACCCGCCGCCCAGAGGGGTAGTGGCGAAGGTAGCTACTATAAGGGCAATATGGGTAATGATCCCTCGCAAGGTGGAAGAGGTTCCAACTCCACTGGGGGTAGAGGAAGAGGATACAATAAATGGCAGCCAGATCCACCCCATCTCAAGATCGTCGTAGGCAAACCTAGGGAACAAATGGGGATTGATGAGAAAACTTGGGATGAGCGTAAGGCAGCCGGCCAGTGCTTCAAATGTGGTGACCCCGACCACATTGTTCCCTTCTGTCCCGAATATCGGTACCCAAAAAGGAACAACCAGTAGAGGTAGCAGTTGCCTCTACAGGGACTCTAGATGCAAGCAGACTGTCATCCTCCCATCTAGAGGTYCCAATGGTAGAGACTGAGACGCTAAAAGGCCCCCACCTAGTTAGCTGCCCAGAGGTTGCTTGTGTTAGGACTTCTCTAGGTGGTTCCCTCGCAAGCATAGGTGATGAACTGATCACTCGTCGCCACACTTGGTCCGAAATGAAGAAAAAAAAAAAGCAGTTGTTCATTGCAGACGTAGAAGTTAGTAGAGTAAGAGTGGGCGCGTTAATAGATAGCGGATCAACGAGCAATTATATTAGCAAGAAAGGGCTACAAAAGATGCGCCTAGGGCTGAAGGTCCAGAAGTTAGACCAGCCCGTTGTAAGTAAGYTAGCGGATAAYAGAGAAATGGTAGTAGATAGCAATGTTGAAGGGGTTAGGGCATACTTTCGGTTGGAGGCAGGGGGTAAGGTGGAACATGTTCTGCACGCCCTGACACTCTTAGTGGAGGACAGTCTCCCTTTTGACATGATACTAGGAACTGATTGGGGTGAGGCCGCCGATGCAGATGTGAAACTGGGTGAGCATGGATGTTGTTTGCCTAGCCCTGCAGGTGGAAAAAAAAAAAAAATCGACTTTACCATGCATCTGGCATAGAGAATAGCCTATCCCTTTGTTGCATGAGTGCCCCCGCGTTCGCCCGACATGTAGTCAAGAACG